AAGGAAGCTGTACAGAATGGACAGCTACTCTCAGACCCCTTGCGGAGTGGACACACAGAGTTCCTGGCCGAAGCACCTGGTTAAGATCAGTGATCTGGGCCCCACCGACTGCCAGAGGGTAGGGAGTGGGGGCTCCCAGGGTCAGAGCAGAGAGGACTGCACTGTAAGTACAAGAGTCTTCACTTCATTTAGGTTTTCCCCATAGTGTATGTGGGAAAATGTAGCTAGGACAGGCAAGCGCGGTGGGGGAAAAGGTTGGGAACATACTTGTTTAATTTAACAATGGACTGCAAGTTCTTAAAGCTGTCATTGTCATGTTCTACACAGCAAATCCTGAGGACAGTGTTCTCGCCGCTGTTCTGTTTTCCTGTAAACACCATGGTTGTGTGTGCACGTGCGGTACTTACCAGCTCTGTCCAAACACGTAAGCTTGCACATCAGAGGGCTGCTACCAAAGTACCTCGGTAATTACAGCCTTAAAAAGTCCTCGTCGTTGAAAATTACAAACCCGAAGGCCTATAATTCACAGCAGACTTGTTTTGCTGCTCACTTGGTATCTTTTATTATTAAATTGGAAAGAAATAAGGGGAAATTCTTTGTAGGGTCTTTGAGATAATTATTTCATCATAAATGCAGATGAAATTAGTAGGTGATACGGGAACCTGAAATTAAGTATCATTATCACATTTGTGTGAAGTGTAGTTTCCAAACATTTTAAGCATTGACTTATTTTAAGTTCTTCCTACATCAAAACCATTTTCAAGAGATTATAAACCATTGGTAAGATTCACTCTTAGAGTATACAACAAAGAAATAAATTTGAGAAGATCAAGCCCTCAATTATTACAAATTTTTACTAATTATCCTACAGTTCTCTCACAAATTGTATAATAAAATTGTGGAAGGGAACTACACAAGCCTTGAGCACTCATCTTCCTGATTTGTCCAAATGACTGCCAGCTCCTGGCCTCCTCTTTGGGTGCCTCTACCCTTCATCCTTGTACCATGGAACCTGACTCTAGTTGAAGTCTGAGGTCCAAGTGCCCCACGTGCTCCTCGCTGTCCCTTCACCGTTCCCTCTCTGGGTCATCCCAGGGAGACCCATGATTCTAGGAGCCATCCCTAAGTCATCCCCCCGGGATGACCTTACCCCAAAACTCCACATCCATACCCAGCTCTTTCTTGCTCTGTTCACCTAGCTATGTAACAATCACCTCAAGTTTTGCTTGTGAAAGAGGAAGTGATTTATTCTCCAGTCTTTCCCTGTCTCTGGTTCCTTTTCCCCCTTGTTCTACCCCTACTTCATCAACTTTTGTGTAAATTTCCGCCAGAGAATCTTTGGAATCCAAACCCTCCTCGTTCTTTACTACTGCTCACTGATGCCTGTCCTATTCTCACCTGAGTCCCACAAGAACCTCTTGTCTCGGCATTCATTCTAAACATGGAATTGTGCAGATCCTTCCCCTGCGTCAAGTCTGCCAATGGGTTCCCCAGGGCTTGGCCTGAGATCCACCTTCACAAATGTGCACAGCCCCTCCTGACTACGTCCCTCCACTCCACGGTCTTCCTGGCTGAGCTGGAACAGTTCGCCCCTGTACTCAATCATCCTGACTTTGTACGTCACACCTTTGGACTGGCTCTTCCCAGTGTGCAGGCTGTTCTTTCCCAGGTTTTCATGTACCCATCCTTAGATTCTGTCAGAGGAGGCCCTTGGGGCACTGTCCTTGACACGCCTGCCTTTATCAGCTCACAAGTTCGATTGTGTCCACCGCAGAGGGACCCACATGCCCAACATTAGTCTAAAAGTCACCTGGCAGCCAGCTGAGTCAGCCAGAGGCCCGAGTGCTGGAATCATTGTCTGTAGCACTCCTTGAGAACTCCCCTTTCATAGGCTCAGACAGAAAAGGGAGAGAAATGCTAATAAAGAAAATACACCAAGATAAGAAGCACGGTGGAGGAACTAAGATTCCAGAAGCAGAGTGGAGAAACCAGCAAGACTATTCAGGTCATTGTGTTTCAAAGCATTTGCTTGGCTCTGTTTAAATGTCCACATACTGATGCATGTAATTGGGGCTACAAGGACAAGAGGAGAGAACACTGCTGGTACGGTTGCAGGAAAGGAAGAGCGGTGCTGGAAGCCATGCAGGGGTTTTGTGATTAAAACGTGGGGGCTGGGCTACGAGCAGGCGGAGGGGCGACTCATGCAGTAAAAGCATTTAGGAGAGGACAGCGTGGGCAGAAAAATAGCTGCTTGTTCACTTCTTAATATTTCTCTTTAGGTTTTGGCCTGAAATAAGTATAACATCCTCTGGCCAATAAAAGATCAAACTTGAAGTGGAGTACGATATTAAGACTAGCACAGGAAGTCGGGACGGCATGCTGTGCACCGGTGACTAGCAGGGTGTCTTCTCACTGAGTGTCCTGGACTCCACAGAGGGTGGGTGTGGCTGAGGCAGCACTGCTGGCAGAGTTGGCAAAGGTGCCATGGCAGCCAGAGAGCTGTCTCCCACACTGGGGCCACGTGTCCAGCCTGTAGGTCAAACCCAGACTGCCAGGTGCCTTTCCATGGGTGGTGAGGTAAACAGTTTACAACTTTGTGAAAGATTCAAAAAGCAAAAATAAGATATCATGACACATGACAACTATGAAATTCATATTTGAGTTTCATGGCAAACGGCTATACCCATTCGTCAACCTGCTGAGTATGGCTGCATTGCACTCAGCAGCAGAGTCCAGTCCAGAACTGAGGGCCGTGCGCTCCTCCAAGCCCGTGGAGAGCATGGCTGACCCTTCTTCCCCAACACAGACACAGGGAAGAAGGCACTGACTGGTCATAGCTGAGATAGCAAGAAGAAAAGCAGTGTAGATGATAGTCCAGTTCGAGTTGAGTGCGCACCAGAGGAGCACACAACCCCAGGGTGAGGGCACACAGCGTCCTGGTCAGCCTACTAGGCGGCACGCACAGGGCAGCTGGCCGAGATGCTTCATGACGGATTCACATGGGAGCGGAGTGTGCTGTCCTGCAGAGAAGTGGACATGTGCCAAGGAGTGTGTGCAACCCAGGACCCAAGAAACACTGGGTAGGTTCCTGGAACGGGAGCTCACTCAAGGGTTTTAGAGAGTGCTGGAGGCAAAGGGAATGATTTTGAATGGAAACAGACAAAAAATAACTAGTAGTAGTGTGGATGCAACTCAGGGCTGGGGAGCTTGCCTAGCAGGCACAAGGTCCTGGGATCAACCTTTAATACTCCAAATATATAGCTATTTTACTGAGTAGAATTCAAAATTTCACATCAAAAATGCAATTTCATATCAGAATTGTAATTACGATTACCATGCTTCAGGTTATAGTCCAGAGTTATACATCAGCTTTTCTGTGCCTGGAAGGTGCACTCAGGAGATTATTTGACAAGTATCGTATGGCACAGAAAAGCTAATTTACAGCTCTGGATTATAACCTGAAGCATCTTTCCTATCATCACAATTTTGATATGAAATTCCATTTTTTTTTTTTTTTTTTTTTTTTTTTTTTTTTTTTTTTTTTTGGTTTTTCTCCGGTACCGGGAACCGAACTCACGACCTTGCGCTTGCCAGGCAGGCGCTTTTGCCGCTGAGCTAAATCCCCAGCCCCTGAAATTCCATTTTTGATGGGAAAGTTTCAGGCAGGAGGGAGATATTTTGGGGCAGACTTGGGTAGCCATGCTGGTCACTTGCTTGTTTGTCCCTGACCAGCCCTCTGCTCATGGAGCACTGCATGACCCAGACTCCTGCCCACTGGATCTGAGCAGGTCCACACGCTGGGCAGAGAGGCCAGGAGGCAGCCGGGGGGATGCTTCCCTCTCCCTTTGCCTCCCAGCATTTCCCACATTGACCAGGTCTGTCCACGCTCCAGCAGCCCCAGACAAGCTTTCTGCCCTTGTTCCCTCTCTCCTGGGCTTCCAGCTCTAACCTCGGTGCTTGTCCCTTTGACTCTGGATTCTGGGAATGTCTCCCTTTGGGACAATCCCTCTCACCCCAACAACGTAGTGGCTTCCTGCTGTTGCTGGTCTCTGGGTTGCTTAGTGACCCATTGGTCTTCCTTGGCTCATTTCTCACCTGTGTAGTCAATTCCTGGTCCTAAATTCCCTATTTGAGATACCTGGACTGGTTTACTTCCTTGAGTGCGTCCCAGATGATACAGTAGTGAACTAGTTTTGTGTGTATCTGTGTGTGTTTGTAGAACAAGGAGACTCAGAAATCAAGCAGATGTTAATAAATATCCATAAGAAAAAAATTTTAGTGAATAATGTTTAAGCATCAATCAAAAGATGGAAGCACGCTGACACTCTCCTAAATGTATTCTATGCTGATAAGGAGAGATCAGTATTTGGGGAAGAATCAAAACATCCAGTGAGAGAGGAAAGGCAGGTAGCACTGTGGGACCTGGTGTCTACCGCGGTGCAGCAGCCACGCTCTTGCCTGTTTCACACCAGTCCACTCAAGGTTCCAGTGTCCGGTCCAGAATAAACGCACACGGGGAGCTCTTACATGGCGTCCTTTGGGGACTAACAGCAAAGTGCACGTGCTCAGTACAAACGCACTTTTCCCAAATCCACAATGGGCTGAATACATTAATGCAGAGCCCACAGGGAGGGAGGATTGACTGGATCCGTTCTACTTAATCTACTCCTCTCGCAAAGCCCTGTGAACAGGTAATAGTAGGATCTCCACTTCATAGACAAGGAAACAAACCTGGAGTGATGAAGTCGTCTACCCCAAACTACTCTGAGGCCACACTGGAATTCAGGCCATCTGGCTTTAAAATCTTCACCTTAGGCCACTGTAATTTAAAGCTAAACTCAAAAGTGTGCTGGAGATTGATACATACACCAATATAAGTTTTTAAAGTTTTTTTTTTTTTGTCTCTCTAAGGACCATTATTTGGGGCTAGTGTTAAGGAAGTGTCACATATTTTCACATTCTATATATTTATCTAAAGTTAAAAAATCCACAAATAATTTTGAAAATTTTTAATGCACAAAACAATCATTTCAGAAACAAAACAGGCACTGACTTACTAACAGTGAAGCTCTATATAAAGGAGACCCCTCCCCACGTGGTAAGCAGGACGACAGTGTAAGCAGACATGAAAGGAGGTGAACACTTTAGGTTTAAATGCAAACCCTAAAGTTGTATGCGACATTCAGATATGGCTTATAATCTCACAGCGCTATTTCCATAATGATGCATAGGACATTTATACATATTGGTAAGATGCTTTTAACTCAGACATTAAACAAAAATACTGAAGAGGTAGTTTTGCCAATTCAAGGTGAGGGAAAGGCTTGATGTCGCTTTGGTCGTTTACTGAAAAATTTACAACCATGTTGGTGGTGGTGTTTTGTGGTCACTCCGGTTTTCCTCTGGATCAGCTGGGAAGGTCATGTTTTCAGAAGCCCATTCACAATCCCCTAAGAACAAGCTCCTCATAGACCATGGAGCTTTCGAACAACTGCTCTACGAATCGGCTGGCAAGTTCCCATCATGTATTTTGTTTTTAAATATGAGATAGACTCTGGCTCAATCGAGGTCTGTCAAGACCTGACCAGCAGTGGTAGGAATTCATCCTGCTTTCTCCTCAATTCTATGTATAGTTCCCTGATTCTAACATCTACTCACACCCAGTAAGACTGACAGCTGAAAGTGAGGATTGCTTTAAATTTTAAAAAAAGTCAGAAATACGTTACATGAAGACTGAATCGAACTTCTCGTGTTTAGTTGTGTTCCATGAAATCTTCACGTTGGAGACTTGGCCTTCACAAGGGAGGTTTGGCTTCTGAAGTCTGACAGTGCATGCTGCTTCTGAACGTGGGACAGGACAAGCGTGGAAAGGTCTCTCAACAGTAGAACCCCAACGGCAGTTGTCTGATCTATAGATGAGGAGCCATTGTATCCTTATCATGAGAAAGAAGGCCACCTTTGAAAGAAGTGTAAAGAAGCAACAAAAACGTGTCAATTTGCAAAACTAAGAACAGTCATTTGCCAGACGCTGGTTAGGGACCACTAGGAACAAAGTGACAGGACTCGGGCGTGACTTGTTACACATGAGAAAGCATAAATACATGGGCAGTGGAGCTTTCCAGGTGGCCAAGGAGTTTGTAGAGATGAGCACGCGCAGAGCCGGGGCAGGGTTCTGCAGCTCATCCCCAGCTGGACAGCGGAGTCCGTGCAGCAGTTTGCAGGTCGGGAACAGGAAGAACACCGCATGCCCACACGAAGCAGATCTCCGCACACTCTGACCTTGCAGATGCACAGCTGAGAAGCAAAGGTCACAGGTGAGCAGTGCTCGGTCCTCTGCTCATCCTCCACATCAGGCTCAAGTGCATCTCCAGGGGTGGCCACAGCCACACACCCTGCAGGTCCCCAGAGCCAGGAGAGTGCACTAAACGAGTCCCAGGCCGAGTACAGACAGTCACGAGCGCCAGCCTGCACGGCTCCAGAGTCAGTCAAAGCATAAATCCCGAGGCCATGGCAGGCTGCAGCTTTCACGATGCCACTGGGAAGGAGGCCGGCAGAGCAGCCCACGGCTGTGCACCAGCATGCAGGAGCGAGAGTAGCTTTGTGCACTTCTGCAGAAATGAAACAAAACCCCATCCACCGTCCGGGTCTGGCTTTATTGGTTCGATCTGTCTGTGGCTAGGAAGACGCTGTGCTGCTCCTGCGCCCTGTCCAGGAGCTTCCTCTTCTTCTTCTTGTTCTTCTTCCCCTTCGCCTTCGGCATTCTCTTCCCTGTGACAGGGAGAGAGAAAAACACGGACAGATGTCAGCAAAGGCGCCTTCTCCAGGGCGGAAAACACAGAACAGTGAGGGTTTCGCACAAAGCCCATCTGGAAAACATCACCTGGAAAAAAGTAGCCTCAGAGAGAAAATTGTTCACATTAATTTTGACAGAATAATAATAATTTACTAAATTGGATATGCTGTCTGAAGCAGAGACTGATCTCTCTGTTACTGGGAACTGGCATAGTTGAAAACGTCCCAGCAGCCAGGGCGGTCTTTCACATATCATCCTGCCCCCAAAAGCCCATTTATCCTCCCACTGTAACAGTGCTACCCTTTTCCAGACAGCTTTACGTCTTTCCCCAGCTCCCTGTGTCTGAGTATCAGAAGAAAATAAGCATCTCTCTACAGTAAGTATACCAGAAGTCTCTACGCTGCTCCCTGCCCCAGCATAGGGTGGGACCCTGCTGCTAACATTTCTCTCTCCTGCCCTCCAGACACCAATGGGAATGTCATCCATGCAGCACTTTTGTATTTTCATAAATATTTATTAGGACATCACTCATGATGTGCCTTACAGTTCTTACTCAAAGTCCTGGACATGTTTTCTTATTAAAGAATGGGCAGCAAGAAGAATGCTTGTTTGTTCTGATAAACCAGTGGGATGTGTCTAACTGAAAATCATACTTAAACTATTCTCTTTCTCTTTTCTGCCTTGGCCACTAGGAAGCCCAATCACAAGCTGAATAGCTGAGTTTTTCCTCCATCAGGAGCTTTGGACATGATTTTCCTGTTGTCACTGCCATGTTTTGCTTCTCCCATCTTGTGGTTATGGTCTATAGTCACTCTTCCTTCACGAGCATGTGCACATGAGCATGGGAGAAAAAAACTTTGGAAGCCACACACCCTGGTTCACGTCCTGGTTTCTTGCCCTCTTTCTTTTCTAAATACATAAGAACCATACAATTTTATAGAAAAGAAAAGGGCTTTAAAGGTCTCTGGCAGTTCACGGAGAGTACGTGGTCACCATGCACTGCGAGTCCAGACGCTTCTCAGCAACCAGGAAAAAAGAGAAGCTGGTGCCATTGGCGTCCTTCCCCTCCTCCACTTCTGGTTCTACCATGCAGCTCCTGGTGTGCTTTCCAGCCCGGGGGGCAGTACTGGAACACAGCAGCAGTGAGCATCACAGGGGAGCACTCAGTTCTAGCCCAGGCTCTGCAGCCTTCTGCCCAGACCAGCGGTCTCTGAGACCTTGTTACCGTCAGCAGTGGAGAAAATGGCTGGTGGAAAAATGACAAGCAACCAGAGCCGAGGGTGTGCACATCGCAGGAAGCCAGGGTCACCTGAGGTTAAGAGAGGCAAAGGAGGTGAGAGGCCAGAGGCCCGGGGAAGCGCTTCTCATTTCTCCCTCATCAGGAGGGGTCCTTTTTGGTCGAGGATGGAAAACAGTCTCACCCCTCAAGACCCTAGCATGGTAGCACAGGGCTGGCAGTCAAGCAATGGCTGCTGAACAGAAATTTTGATGACAAGAAAAAAGAATAACATATTGTGTAGGACACTACATTAAAATAATGAGAACATGATCATCACCCCGTCATGTGAGGTTATAAAGGTCCTCAGAGTTAACTTCTGATTCTCATTACGTCCTGGCATTCAGGTTCTAATGGCGCTGTGCCATCTTCAGACACAATTAACCCTACCCAACGCAGCCCTAGTCCAAGCCTTCATCAGTCAAAGCCGCTGCAAAGTTACAGTTCTTTGGTAGCATCGTCTCTAAGGATCAGACACACCTAATGAGGGCAGGGAGATGGAACACTTCAGATAAAATAGCACATTTTAAAAGAAACCTCAATCTTAAAGTTCCATAAAGAAGTTTTCCTAGTTCTTTACTTTCTCTAAATAAGCAACAAGACATCAGTTACAAAAATTATTGTTGACCACATTTTAGAAATTTATTTGGTTTATGCTTCACTTATTTAAAGCCTGGAGTTTCTTTTAAAGGCAAATTAAAATTAAGTGAATGGAAAATAAAGCTAACATTATTTGATTTTTAAATGTGTTCTGCAAAATAAAAATGTAGTAAATACGTTATGTAAAGACAGCATTTCACATTGTGATTTCAGTTCCCCACAGGAGCTATACGGTCAGAAGTTACATGTGTGCTCTGCTCACAAACAGCAAATCCACGCGGAAGGACTAGAAACCCAACTGGCCATTTCTGTGTCCCTTAGCCAACTTACTATCCTGTTGTGGCAGCCGGACTCTGGGTCTGCTGGCTGAACTAGTATTGTGCACAGGGAAATAACTCAATATTTGTATGCAACAGTTGGTATGTGGGCCAAAAATTCAGCAATGATTCTGAAAACTTCTATAAAATAACTTTTCAGATTGTATGATTATTGCTCTGGCAGTGAGTTATGTTCCAGCTAACAATGTTTTGGTGCCATCACAGCATCCCTAAAGCCTTTCCTCGTGACCTCTCTCGGGGGGCGTCTCTCCGTGGTGTGGGGGTGGGTTTTGTTTTGGGCTTGTCCCACTTCTCATGCAGGACACGCTGTGAGCCCCAAAGAACCAGGACAGTCCAGCCTGAGCCAACTGAGCATGTTTGTGTTTGACAGTAGGTCGTTCTGGGTTAAGCTCAACTCAAAGTCATAAAAGAATATTAAATATAAGATGTAGAAAGCGTTTTGCCCTAATTTCTTTGGAGCTTAGACCTTCTTATGTAAATTAGTCATTATGATTAATGCTGACACAGACTTGCCCGTGGCCGTGTCCTGATCCGTGTTTTGAACGAAGGTTCTGCTGCACACTCAAGTGTGCTAGTGTTGGCTTCCAATTCATTCCTTTACATTGTAAAGGAGACGGATGACTTTTAGGGCTTGGATTTTTGCACACTTTCAACACATTCGCACTGTGGGGGTAGACCTCTGGAGAAAGGGGTGGTGCCCATCGCCAAGACCAGCTCGGTGCCTTGACTTACCCTTCTTACTTTCTAGTCTGTGAGAGAAAACCTGGCACATTTACTACCCAAGACCAAAAGAATAGCTCTGAGTTTTGTGAGAAGACAGCCTCTGGCACAACCAACTCTGATGGCTAATTTTTCACACCTTTGTCCTGAGTTCTCTGAGCATACAAGAACCCAGAGGTCACCACAGAGAAAATCTGTAAAATCGCCATGGAAATGTGAGGCTCACATGGAGCACCATGCATCCCGGCTGCGAGGCCCCTCCACCTCCGAGGAGCAAATCCTGCCGACAGAGGGCTCCCCAGAGGCAGAACTTCAGTGAATCCCTGCCTTGGGCCTGAGCTCCCAGGGTAGGGAACCAGAGCTATTTCTTCCCCTCACATGGTCCACTTGAGTTTGCCCGAGAACAAGCCAGCAGCACTGGAAATGTATTTACTCAGGAGCAATGGATGATTCTCTGCAAAAATGCCAGCTAAAATATTTTAAAAGCTCATACAAAAATAAAGCAAAGGCCTAAAGATAATTCCTAAATAAGAGTGGCTAATAAATATATTTAAACAATTAAAATTGCCAAAGGGAGATGTCATCGTCAGGACGTTCAGAAATGATAACGCCCAAGGCTGGTGAGAGGGCAGTGAGCCAGCCCTAGAGGCATCGGGAGAGGTACCAGGAACACAGCCTCTGCACAAAGACAGCGGCGACATGTGCGAAATGCGGAAAATATTCACACCGTGACTCACCCGCAAGCCTACCTGAGGAAAGTAATCCAAGCTGGGGTGAAGACTTACACATGCAGATGTTTACCTCAATCCTGAAAAACTGTGCATTACCTGAATATCCTACTACAATTTTTATGACCTCTTCTTTTTTTTTACCTCTTTTTATGATTACTGAAGCAATTAAGTGTGCTTTCAACTAAAAATGGAGGAATCTTGCATTTTAAGGCCCCAGTGATTAAACCTATCATTTCTAAGAATATTACTATTGTATGTTCCTAAAGTGTCCCCAAAACTCATCATAAGTGACTCTAAGAAAAAGCTTGTCATACAAAAATACTCTCAGTATGGTGGAAACAGATTCCTCTGTGGAGTGACTGATCTTAGATCTACAACCTGAGCACTGCTGACCTAAGCCCTTCAGACTTAGGGTTGTTTGCAGAGGCCTTGTCTAATCCAGAAAGGACAAATGTTCTGAGCATGCCTAGGGTGTGCCAGCGTAGGTCCTACGCAGCCTACCATAAGCCTGTTCTGTGTCCACAGTAGTTCATAATAGCATAGGCTTTAATTGATAATAGCTGTTTATGTTTATGGTGTACAGCATGGTGTTTTGACATATGCATGTAGTGTGAAATGACTAAGTGAACCTGATAGCACGTCTGTCACATCACATACTTACCTGCCGTGGGAATATCTGAAATCGCTCTGTACTCTTTCCAGATATACAGACTGTTACGTGTATCAGCTTGGGAGTCAGATGTGCAGATAAGGTGACAAGTTAAACAAATGAGCCTTTTTCAGCTTATTTATACTACAAAGTCCCTTGAGCACCTTTTTTGGAACATCCCTTTGGTGTTTTTTAGAAAGACACTATTTTCCACTAAAAACACTTCATAGCCAGCTGGCCTCCTTTGAAAGGATGGCAACTTCCACTGTCATTATGGTTGTGTGCTCTGAGCAAATATTCTTGAGGAAGACTTGGGTCACTAAACTATTTCATCTTCACAAAAGAACACGTTTTCTGAAACCCACACATAGTCTGGAGGCAACGTCCACAACATTGCTCTACTTATTAGGCTACTGGCAGAACATAGACAGCCACCCAGAATCAAACTGCACTTCTCCAAGCATCCAAACATGGAGATCGTCCGGGGTATCGGAACTCCAGAGACCCACCAGCTACGCAGAGGGGCACGTGTGTCTCAGAAGGAATGTGGCTAGCAGGGTAAACCGGGAGCTGTGGACACTGTGTGCTGCTGCCCCAGCTACAACGCTGTACATGTCTTCGTGGAGTAAGAATAGTGCAGAGTGACTGCTTCCCTCTGTGG